TATGACAACACCAACAACAGAAGAGAAAGGGGCAAAAATTATACAGAGTAAGATAAAAGTTAAAAAGCAATTTAAAAAGGAAGAAAAAAGGAAATCATGAAAAAAAGGAAAAAGAAAAATTTGGAAATTAAAATGAAAAGAGAAAAGGGGGAAAGAGGGAAAAGGTTTAAAAAGGGTGGATAAAGAAAAGAAACTATATATACACACAAAAGAACAGTAACAAAAATATTAATAAAAATTTCCTCTCTTGAGGTGCTCAATTGTGCATGTAAGACTGGATGATAATAACCTATGCTGATCAGAGCTTCTGAGTGCCCTTTGGAGAGAGCAAAAGGTTTTTTCACTTCTTTCCCTTGTGGTGTTTGCCATATGACCAGCAGGAATGGTTTGTGGTTGAATTCAGTTGGAATATCCCTTATCTTCCCTGCACACCAAATTAAGCAAGAGTGGAACTCAGAACTGCCCAGGAAAATATTTACTCCTGATTTATTTGGACTGTGCATTTGGAGACTGGGGCAGACATTGAAGTTGCAGAGTGTCAGGGACTCCAGCACCTTTTGTGTTGCACACTCCAAATACAGGGAGAGGCTGTGGAGTCTCAGCCATTTGTACTGGGGGAAGGAGAAAGTGGGCCCTGTACAATCCACTACCTTTGACTCTGGTATTCCAAGATAGTTCCTGAAGGAAATTGCAGGTGTGTGCCCGTACCCGCCCCCTCCCCACAATTCCTGCAGCTTGTTTTCTGAACTGCCAGTTTTAAAGAGGAGCCATCTTTAGTTCCCTAGGCGTGTCAATCCTGGTTCCCACCACATGGAATTATTATTACTGAATTTTTATTCAGTTTGTGGCCAAACTGAATCTCAAGACATTTGCTTCCTGAACCAGCCCAGCAATATTTCTGGAGACCAAGAGTCAGAAAAATGCAGGGGCCTTTGACTTTAGAGGAGTAAACTGAGATAAGACTTATCAAGATGGCTTCATGGTATAGCACCTTGAGAATACACTGGGAAGTGTAGAGAACTTATTCATAACCAGTATTGATATGAAGATCCAAGTCTATTTTCTGTTTAGGCTGCATTTTCCTTCAAGGTGTCAAATCCTGCATTAGTGGTGCTCATGGGGACTCCTCCATCTTCTACTGCACTGCTGCTGCCATATTGCTCATGCCCTCTGTTCCACTATCCAAATCTCTGCCTGTCCATTATTGAACTTCAGTATTCTCTCACTATCACCTTCCTAGATATCCAGTTGCTCTCCAGTTCTTTTAATTGTATCTCATAGAAAATTGGGCAAGAGCTAGGTGCTCTAATTTGCCATCTTCCTGTCTCCTGTCAATCTAATTTCATTATTTTAAATACTGGCTTTTCTGTGTTTAATGGTAAAGGACTGTTCATAATTTCTATTTCTTCTTGTGTCAGTTTGGTAAATTGTATTTTTCAAACACTGCTTATTTAATCCAAATTGTCAAATTTATTGGCAGAAAACATGTTTATAATGCTGTCCTACTACTTTCTAGTATCTGTGGAGTCTACAGTGTTACATTCCCTTTTCCATTATTGTTATTATTGATCTGTTTTTTTCTTCTTGTTTTTTTTGAATTAGTCTTGCTAGAGGTCTAGTAAATTTCCTTGTCTTTACTGATTCTGTTTTTATTATGTTCGTTTCTATTTCATTCATTTCTTCTCTTCTTAAAAATTTAAATTCTTTGCTGTGATTTGCTAGTCTGTTTCTAGATTATCAAGTTTACTTAGATCATAGAATTTAAGCCCTTTTCTCTGCTAATATATGCATTAAATACTTTCAGGTTTGTTGTAAGTACTTTCCTTTGCTGCATTCAATGACTGTTGATATTTTATAACTTCATTAGCATTCAGTTAAGAATATTTTCTGATTTCTTTTGTGATTCTTAACAAGGATTATTTAGGGCTGGGAATGTGGCTCAAGCAGTAGTGCGCTCGCCTGGCATGCGTGCGGCCCGGGTTCGATCCTCAGCACCACATACAAACAAAGATGTTGTGTCCGCCGATAACTAAAAAATAAAATATTAAAAAAAAACAAGGATTATTTAAATGTATATTCCCTAATTTATAAGTTGGAGATTTTACAGTCCCCACATCCCCACATTCTATTTTTCCATTATGCATGTCTAGCTTAATTTTACTGTAGTTGGAGTATATATTCACAAGATTTTGATCCTTGAAATCTGTTGAGGCTTGTTTTATGACCCCATGGTGTACTCAGTTTTGGCAAAATGTTTAATGTGTCCCTGAATTTAAATTTTGTTACTGTAGGGTGCATTTATGCCAATTTGTTAATTTTGGTAATTGTGTTGTATAGATTTTTTTCTATGCTTACTTATTTTTATTTCTGCTTGTTCCATCAGCTATTGAAAACGTGTGTGATTATGAATCACAATGATTGATAATTTATTTTTCCGTTTAATTCTATGAGTTGTTGCTACACAATAAAAACACAGAATGTTAATGGGTATATACAAATTAAAATTGTTATATGTTCCTAATGGTATGATTTTTTTATCAGTCGATTATCTTAATCTTAGTAGTGGTTCTTGCCTTAACTTCTACTTTGTCTGTGCAGTATAGCTATACTAATAATATTTTTTACATGATGTATCTTTTTCTATCAACCTTCTGTGTTCTTGTATTCAAGGTTTATTTTGTGAACAGTGTCTACTTTTTTTAAAAATCCAGTCTGATAAGCTTAGTCTTTTCGAATGGAAAATATTTTATGTTAATATATTTATACTTTTATTTTTATTTTCATTTTATTATTGTTTTATATATGTCCCACTTGTTTTTGTGTTTATTTTTCTTTCCTTTTCTTCCTTTCTTTTGGCTTAAATTTTTTGAAATTTGATTTTTTTCATCTAGTAACTTATTATAGTCTGTTATATATACATATTAATGTATATATAAAAACAAAAATATTGTTTTCTTTTAATTATAACCCTAAGAAATATTACTTGCATCCTTGACTTATTGCTGTCCAGTTAAAGAAAAAATTATTATTTTAAACACTTTTTCAATAATTCAAGATCCTTAAAGTACTTTAATTTTCTTTTTTATACTCTTGTCCTTTGCATTATTTTTGTTATAAATTTTTATTCTGTATAATTTTTAAATCTCACTAGCTATAGTTAATATTATTTTGTAGATTTAATACCCATTTATACATATTCACAGAATTAGTCTTTTGGTTCTTCTTTATTTCCTCTTGCATTGCTGGTTTCTGTCTGGGATAATTTTTCTTTAACGTAAGTATTCCCTCTAAGGACTTTTTAATACTTTCCTGCTGGCAGTGAACTATCTATTTTCACTTGTCTAAAAATGGCATTCTTTCATCTTTATCTGAAGGAAAAATTTTTTCTGGCTATAAAAAAATCTAAGTGTATTCTAACATGTCACATACAATTTAATAGTATTATGGATGAATGCAACATTTATTGAGCTTCAAATAATTTTCTTTACTTTTATGTTTACATTGATCTTGGTGCTCTAAGTCAATGTTTTGTATTTCTCCTAGCATTCCTCTTCTTTCTAGTTAAAATAATACAGAATTTGGGAAGAAAAAATGCCTTATTTTGAGAGTCAAGTTTTAAATTTACCACCTGTATGAACTTGGTCAAGTCATTTAACTTTTCTGAGGCAATTTCCTTATCTATAAAATAAGAAAAATTTTATATTAGCTCTATTTCACTGGGCAGTTTTGAATTTCCATTCAGAAGTAAATGAAAGTGCTTTGTAAAGTGCACCAGTTAGTGAAAAAAATAGTGTTATTATTTTTATTTTGGGGGACAAAAACATTATCAATGTATGTATCCAGAATTCTCTTATACATGTACATATTTTATGAGCAAACACAAATTATTGTAGTCATGTATATATTTGTATATATTAGATACAGTATTTAAAATTGCATAAAATGCAACTTTATATAAGGTTAATCATACATTTATTTCTAATCTTTCAATAAAATAACAGGAAAAGAGAAACCCAGCCAGGTACATAATTTCTAATGCCTATAAGATAAAAATAACCCATTATTTAGGAGAAGTACACTATTTCTTTTCTTTTTGTACCAGGGTTGAGCCCAAGCACACTTAACCACTGAGCCACATTCCCAGTCCTTTTTTATATTTTATTTAGAGACAGGGTTTCACTGAGTTGCTTACGGCCTCGATAAGTTGCTGAGGCTAACTTTGAATTACAGCTTTGCGCCACCACACCCAGCTCAGTTATCTCTTTATACTAAATTCAGGAATGAATTTACCCCTTAGTTTTCTTCATGATGGAGAGCTATTGAAAAGATTTTTCTGCTGGTTTAGAGGATGCTGATTTGTATGGCTAATCCAAATCAGTGTTGGATTGATCTAGAATTTTAATATTATCTCATACTCCCCAAGGGAGAATTATACATTTTAATGTGAGCTGCAAGAAACTACTCTCCTACCATACTTGCAAATGGATTATGTTCAGGAAACTAATAAGGAATGCTAGTTTCCTTATCAAAATGCATGGATACACAGGAAAGGGAAGGTTAGGCTTATAAATTAAAATTTTATTTTGCATGCATAGCATTAACAAGACTGCCTTAGGAAGATAATATTTAGCTTTATTTTATTTTTCCTGCACAGAATCTAATTCAAAAAATTTTTAATACATCAACCAAATTTGTGCAGGCACTTGCTAACTGTCAGTATGTTTATTCTCCTTTTGAAAAAGCACTCATTCAGACTTACTGTTGTCCTTTATTTTTGTGCTTTTTAAAAATTTCTTTTTCTTTCTTTCTTCTTTTTTTTGATGGTGGGGGAACTTTATTTAGATAGTAAAATAATACTTTGAAATTGCAATTTTTAAACAAACAACGGAAATGTATGTTAGTACTTCACAGCCAGTGCCCCAATACCTCTGAAGTTATATGATGATGAGCACATGTAAAATAGGGCAGAAATTCCTTATTTAAATTCTTTTTATCTTCAGGTCACTGGCATGTATTTTATATGAGATGTGTTGTATGGATCACGCATTCACTGGCTCCAATTTCCTGTCTATTGTTTTAAAAATTGTTGAGGGTGATACACCCTCCCTCCCTGAGAGATATCCAAGAGAACTAAACACCATCATGGAAAGGTATGGAAAGAAATCTATTGTCAAAAAATATTATTTTGTTTAAATGAACTTATTCTTTAGCTTACTTGAAAAATAATTTTCTTTTTGAACATTACAGCATGTTGAACAAGAATCCTTCATTGAGACCATCTGCTCTAGAAATTTTAAAAAATCCTTACATTGCTGAACAGCTACAGGTATTTAAAATGAAAGGGATACTGGGAAACAGGTATTAGCATTTATATACACATTCTGTGACTTGAAAATATACTGTGGAAGTAAGATGCATTAAGAAACAAAGGAGGAACAAGATTAAAAAGAAGGTAGTCAGGACAATCTGTTTGCAACTGTACATCAACACTAGTTCCCAGATGTGCCCAGAAATGGGATGTTGGGGCTTTCAATTTATGCCTAATCTCAACATCTACTCTATGGCTCTTATACTGACAGTTGTTACCTCAACACATTGGAATTATATCCCTACTAGGACAAGAATGCACCAATAATGATGTTAGTCTGGGATTTTCTTTGAGCATTTATTATTCCACTCCTTTATTATATGTAACTCACTAACACTTTTTATTTATTGAGCTCATTTTGTTTTCCTGTGGTTTAGAAAATTTGATATAGTAGATCTGCCTATGGTAGTAAGAAAGAAGCAAATGGTTTCTTCCCTGAGGGCTTTTTTTCTTTTTTTAGCTTCTCTGGCTTTTGCAATACTAACCCCTCAGGCAGGTTTCTTCTGATTTCATGAAAAGATTTAATAGGAACCACAAGAGTTGTCCACTTTCCAAAATGTGCATATCTTTTCAGTCAGTGGACCGAGTTATAAATCCAGAGGAATCAAAGGTGGTGATGATGTATACTCATTCTTGAGTGCCAGGCACTGTGCTGACACTGGGGGGAGGCTAAAATGAAAGGAATGGGTATTGTTCCTGATCTTTTGAAGCATGACTGCTAGTGAGAGAACCCAGTGACCAAGGAAAAGTAGACAAATAAATGATCACAAGCAAAAAAATTAGGAAGAAAGTGAACAGGATTCTACAAAAAGTAACAGGTGGGGAGGGGCTTTGGTAGTCAAAGAAGGGGTTGGTACCATTTCAACACCAGTGAGCACAGGAGAAGGAGCCAGAATGTAAGGAACAATTTGAATCATAGGGAACAGCTAGTACAAAAGCCAGCCCTAAATTAAGTTGTGCTCATGGAAGGTGGACATAGAGAAGAAGGTTCTTACACAAACACATACTCCCAGAGGAAGCTAAGGAAAACATGGAGAGGAAGTCTTAAGGACCTGGGCACCTCCAATTCTCCCTATGTGCCAAGCATATTGGGCTCTGGGTAGTCCTCTATCAAAGGGAAATTAGTGCCAGCTAAAAGGGCCATCAATGTACAAAGAAACAAAAAGGATCTCAGGGAATCTGCCAAGACTAGGGTCAAGCAAGTGAGATACCTACCCAAGAGCAAACTTAAAGGGGACACCAAAAACTCAGTCAAGATAAATCATATATGTTTATGCAATAATCTAAAATCCAAAATAATACTAATTATCCCTGGTGAAGAATATTTAAAGTTTAAACAACAGATTCAGCAGAACCAGGATTAGGGCAAAGCAAGGAAGTAGAGTTGGGCAAGTTCAGTATTGGATCATGTCTTTATTTAAATATTTGATATTGTATTCTTCATAGCTTTTTGGACTTATTTTTTTTCTTTTTAAAATTTATTTCTTACATATATAACAATAGTGGGGTGCATTACATTCATAATTATCCATTCATAGCACAATTTTTTGTAATTCTGTATATAAAGTATGTTCACACCAAATTATGGCATTATACATGAGCTCTCTTATTTTTTTGCATAAAATTCTTAATACACCTTTATACCACCATTTATCATATCTCTGTTTGTATATAAGGACTTAATTTTGATTTTAAAAATAATATTGTATTTAAGTATTATTTCTCTTGGTCACAGAGTTTTTTGGTACCCACTTAGATTTTGTACCTAAAGTGAGTGCCTCATTTGCTAAATCCTAGTTCTAGCCTGAGGAATGTAGATTTGTCCATTCCAGGCTGGGATTTGGAGAAAGTGAGTATTGTTGGAGCTGAGAGCAGGCCTGCTTATAGTGGGTAACAAGGAGTAAGAGAGCAAGTAGTACAAGGTGAAGTTGGAGAGGTAGGCAGGAGCCTGGCCCTGTAGGTCTTCTCACATAAGCTACCGTGTAATTTTATATAACCTTTATATAGAGAAAAATAGTTACTATGAACTTAGTTTTCAAGCTTCCTGCCAGAGTCAATAATACCCCAAATCAGAAAAGGTACCTAGTAGTTTTATGTCCTTTCATTCAATTCATTACTGAAGAGGAATCTAATTTAAGTTTACCAGGATTATTATTAATTTTTTTAGCACCTGATGTGTAGATATTCTGAAATAACTCTGGAAGACAAGAATTTGGATTGTCAGAAGGAGGCCGCCCGGATAATTAATGCCATGTAAGTAATTGCTTTGTTTTTCAAAAGCCCATCCAGCATAAACGTTAAATGCATTTGTCTTTAAAAATCTATTAGTGCTAAGCTGAATGCATGGAGCATTCTAGAATTCACTTAATCTTGCCAGGAAATTAAGGAGCTTCAGTAATGTAGCATTCCAAAGCTTTTTGCCCCAGGTGGTAGCAAATTGAAATCATAAAAGTTTAAACCACTGCACAGCTTACAGATCTGCAGGGTAGCTCCACAGCTGCCTTGTAAGTGTGTAGAGAAATTAATATCTCAAACATTTAGTAACATTTATGCTAATGAGCCTTCCATCATAAGCATAAGTGGCTTTCACACATTGTTTGTTTAATGTGAACTGGCAGAAGAATATGGGATTCTGGGACAATTGAAAATAAGCCAGATTTACTTCCTTAAAGTATGTATCTTCTTATATAAGATCTAGAAAAGTGTGTTTTCAGAGAATTATAATTATTTTCTGTCCTAACTTCTCTTTTTCCTCATTCAAATTTTTTTGTGCTATAACTTGCAGGAGTCTAGAATGCTATATTACTTCAGAATCACCATGTGTAACTGTGCATGCAGTGCACTGCACAACTCCTGGGACCACTACTTTTAAAGACTAAATCTATAATTTTGCCAAACAAACTATATTTAATATTATAAAGACACACAGAGCAGAGCAGTCCCTCTTCAGCAGTGTACAGGACAGTGGAGTGAGAACAGGGGACCTGGGGCTGGGGTTGTGGCTCAGTGGTAGAGCACTTACCTAGCACATGGGAGGCCCTGGGTTCCATCCATAGCACCATATAAAAATAAATAAATAAAATAAAGTTAAAAAAAAAGAGAATAGGGGCCCTAAATAGGTTGATCTACAAGGCCAGATAGCCAGCAATATTTCTCTCACACCTAGTCCTGTGGGTTTCCTAACTGCAGCATTGTGGTCTCCATCCTCACATGCAAACTAGGAGAAACTTATCCACCAAGGCATCCAGTCTTTGTGTGATGCATGATCTCTAGGTGAAGCACATTGTGCCTTAGGGGGCAAATTTTTAAGCATGCTTCTAATAACCTTGTTTTGTTGAATTTCTAGTTATTCTTTCAAGAAAGGTTGGAATTTCAAATTTTATTTTATTAACTGGAAATGTGAAAGTACTAGATATCTTATTTTTAAAATATTGAGCTAATTTTAGTTATTATTTTGCACTGCAGTTGTGAAACACTTTGCCTTACACTGTTTAGAATTAACACTATGCTAGAATCTAATTATTTGGAGGGCATTTCATGTTGTGAAATATTGATTTCAATTAGTCACTCTTATTTTCAAGATCTAAGACTATGTTTTAAGGAGATCTGTTTGGGTTTAGAAAATTGGGTATATATATGCCTGAAGGATTGAACTTTGCTTGGTGACTCTGTTTGGATGATATTACAGAGGAATGAGAACTGCTACAAAACTCATTACAATTCTCTTAGTGGTTCTTAAGGAAGGAGTGGATTATAAAAGGTGTTCTTTGATATTGATCCATAACCAAGTCAGGAACAGAAGCAATTATCATTGGGAAAGTGGTTGTAGGCCTTTCAATAGTAGATTAATGTGAACACATTCCTTTTATTGAAGAAAAAGATTCTTAATTAATAATATTATCTAACATTTTGTGGGTTAATGACCATATCCTCAGCTCGGTATCTAATAGAATCCATTTACATGAACTCATTTAAAGGCAGGAAAACCCTATGAAGTAGGTAGTACTTTTTTTATAGTCATGGGTTAAGTAACTTGCCCAAGAATACATAAAATGTAAGCTGGGAGGTTATGATATGAACCCATATTTAGTTGTTAACCTGTGTGATCAAGCACTCATATAAGTCATACTCAGCAACATACACCTATTGTGATACCATCATAAATACTTGCGCATACATTGTCTCATGATACTTACTATAGCCCATTCTTTACAGATGAGAACATTGAGGTTCAATTTCTCATTCAAGTCTATTGAGCTAATGAGTGGTAGAGGTGGGATTCAAATCCTGCTTAACTCCAAATATTGTATACCTATCCACATGGCTGAATTACTCTGACAGTCGTTTTGCTCCCTAATGACCACAATTCTAATTTGTCTTACCATTGTGAAAACTAGTTATAGGCAATGAAATGAGCAGAAATTTGGAAAGTATATAATTTTCTTTTAAACAAAAATCTAATTTGAAAGATATTGTCAATTAACTACAGTCCTGATTGGCTCATTGCCTATCCAAAGATTATTAGTTTTTGCCTGGCCTGTCTTGAGATGCTTTTGCTTTCTCGGTAGTGTAATTATACTTCTGTAAAAGATTTGTTTAATTTTTCTGAGCATGTTAGCATGTGGGGAATCTTTATGATTTATAGGCAAAAAAAGATACACCTGCAGACTCTTCGGGAACTATCTGAAGTGCAGAAAATGACACCTAGAGAAAGGATGCGGCTGAGGAAGCTCCAGGCAGCTGATGAAAAAGCCAGGAAGCTAAAGTAAGCTGCCTTTCCTTTCGTACTGTATGCCTCCTGTGCTGCTCCCAGGGGCTATGAAGGAATTCACTGAAGAGAAGACAAAAAAAAAAAAAAAAAAAAACAAATCAAGAAACCAAAATGCATATGGTTATATATTTATTTGTTTATTCATTTACTCATTCAGTCAAAAGATGATTGAGTCTTAGAGTGGATGCCAGGTACAATTTATATTAGGCTTTCAGTGTTGAGTATAGAGAAAGATTGAAAATCAGGGAGTGCATTAGTGATGAAAATAGGGTTAGTCTCTTGAGTGAAACTTCATTGGTGCTGACATCTTCTATACATACTCAAGCAACAGACCAAAAAGAAGCCTTTATTATTTTAATCTCATTCCCTAGGTGCTTGTTGTGTTTCTTCTACCAGGAGACCTAGCTGATCTACAGGGATAAGAGGTTTTGCTGGCAGAAAATTTTTAGCTTGGAAGACAGTAAAATGCAGTCAGTTCTGGTCTGTTAAAAGAAGCATTTAGAAGTATCTTTTTATGAAAAAGTATAATTTCAAGCATCGGGAAGGGGGTGGAAAACTTGTAAAGTTATTATGGAAAGAAGTATGGAGTTTCCCTAAAAATTTGAACATAGAACTTCTGAAAGATCTCACAGACCTGCTTCTGAGTTTATATTCAAAGGAAATGAAATCAAATATTGAACAGATCTGCATTCCCATGCTCACTGCAGCATTATTCACAGTAGCCCAAAGATGGAATCAAAGAGAAATGTGGACTGTACATACAACAGGATTCTCTTTAGCTTTTAAAAAGAAGGAAATCACATCAACTGCACCAGCATGGATGAATCTGGAGGACATTAGGCTAAGTGAAATAAGCCATCCATAGAAAGACAAATATTCATGATCATGATCTCACATATATATGAAATCTGAAAATATGGAACTAGTGAAGGTGGAAAATGAAATGGTGATTAACAGGGTCAGGGGCATGGATGAGGAGATTTAGACAAAGGTACAAAGTTGCAGTTAGCCAGGAAGAATTAGTTCTAGAGAGCTATTGTTCATCGTAATGACTAATTAAGACATTGTAGATTTGAAAATTACTCAGTAATAGACCTTAAATGTTCTCACCACAAAAAAGTATGTGAAGTGATGTATATGTTAATTAACTTGTTCTAATCATTTTAACAATATATACATATATCAAAACATCATAATGTATACTATAAATATAAACTATTTTATCTGTCAATTAAATCTTATTAAAACTGAAGAAAGATGTATGTATGAAGAGTGGAATATCAAAGAGCCCCGGACTCTCAATTTCTCAAATGCTTTTTTTCAGTTGCAAGGTTTGCCAATTCTCTAATTTTTCTTCTTTCTTCCTTCGCTTACTCTTTGGTAACTTAGAAATCCCAACCAAGGACTAGAGGGATAGATAAGTTCCAAATAGCAGATCTGCTTACTTTGTGATCATGTTTACAAAACAAACCTGAAACATGATTTAGAGATATCCTTGTACTCTGAATGAATATCATGATGAACCAAATAAGAATCTATCAGACTCTATTTTCCTTAACACATGCTTTCTTTAATATATGTGGAGAAAGATTTGCATCAAAGTGCAGTGATGTGCTGGTAAACATTTAACAGACAGCTCTGGATTTAGAGTTAGCTGACTTGCTTGCTGATTTCTGTGTTGTAAATACTCCCACCATGGCCAATTTCGGCTACCAATGTGATGTTACTGAATGTTTAGTTAGGAAGATAATGTACACAGTGTGTTCTAGGGAGCCAATACTAGTTTGTTTTTGTAAATCACTATAGCACTGAGTGTGGGTTTTACTTGGAAAATATATTCACATAAATTCCTTGAGCCATTCCATCAACTCATAGTCTCAAATTTGTTTATAATGTTAGTATCTCCATTGTACCATGATTCAGATCATTGATTGTGGATAAAAGAAAAATTTATACTCTGATAGAAATGGATTAAAATGGCAGATTTAATAATTTATCTGCATATTACAATTATTCAGATTAAAACTATTTTATAGATCAATGGAAGTCATAAATCTTTCAAATGATGCACTAATATTTTCACATTTAAAGTGATAGTGTTTACATAAAATTTGATCTTTATTTTATGAATGAATTGTATTGTAATTTTGATCTTTGTTTCTAGAATAAAAGGGAACATGTGTTTTTAGTAAGAAAATGACTCTAATGTCAGAAAGGTGAAATGTATCCATTTTATAGACAAGAAAATTTAACTAGAAGGATGTTCAGTGACTTGTAGAAAATATCTAAGTATAGATTAACACACAAGTTATCATAAGAACTTAAATCTTTCTTCTAGTAGCAGATTTATTATAATCAATTCTCCTAGTTGGAAACAAATAAAGAAAACAAAGGAAATAAAATTTTTCTACAGAAGAAAATTTTCTTCCACAGTGATGCCTATATATTTTTCATAAATTCTTTGATATGTAGTATTTCTTTTTTTCCTGGCTTGTGTGTTGGTTCACCCTGAAAACATTTTTCATGGTGTTAGTATATGTCAGACACTGTGGAAACCCCCATCATCATATTCAGGATGCACAGGGAGGAATTGTCTTCTCCTTCTGCTGCATTTGAGAATTCCTAAGAATTAATAAGGAACCAGAGTATCCCTGTGTGTGATTTAAAAGAGAACTAAAGTTTAAAAGTGTTATGCACAGCATACTACTTCCCAAGCGAGAGACAGATGACCTGGCTTCCCATCAGCCTAATCTGCCCATGATCCCTGAACAGGGATCATACATATCTGTAGATAAGACATAGTTTTAGAAATTTGAGTTACTTTTGTATGTTCACTTTAAATTTGCAGAAAAATTGTGGAAGACAAGTATGAAGAGAATAACAAGCGGATGCAAGAATTGAGATCTCGGAACTTTCAGCAGCTGAGTACAAATGTGCTTCATGTAAGTATCTCTTAAATTTTACATAAGACTCTTTCTTGCTTCAGATTATACATACTCATATAGGTAGTTGTATAGGAAAAGGGACAGGTTAGAAAATAAAAGTACTATGACCAAGTTTCTAATTCCAGGGAGGATTCTAGAATGTAGGCCATCAATTGGAAAAAACACTAACTCAAAGATCCACAGAGGTGGATCAGGTGATGTATCCAACACATTTATTGAGTGCCTACTATGTAGTTTATAAAGGATTGGCACTGAATACACAGTTGATGAGTTAAATAACTAGATCTTAGAACACATATGTGTATTTCTAATTTTTTTTTTACTGAAACAACTGTTGTCAAATATGACTTTTATTATGCATTTTCTTTATATGTGTGTCTTTATGAATGTATATGTCTATTCACACACACAATCATTCACACAGAGAGACACATACTTCAAGCCGTGGAAAATTCTCAGGATTTTGTTAGGTTTAAATAATCTATATATTAATTTGTGGACTACTGATATCTATATCATGCTGAAAATTCCCATAGAGGTGGATAAATGTCTACTCAAGTCTTCATTTCCATCCTCCATTCATCTCGTATGTTCAGATGTGAGCTGGTTACTGTGTTGCTGCACACTCAAAGCCTTCAGGAGTCAGGAGGAGTATAAACAGTGCAGCAGGGTAGATATGAGGGAATGGCGAGTGGTTTGAACTTTGGAGAACTAGAAATAACATTGTCATAAAGGTATTAGGTTCATTTAAAACTCAATGCACATTAAACCAATGTTTGTGGACAGCCAGTTGGAATATCCATCTATAGTTCTACTTTACCTTCTCCTTTAGTTTTGGAATTTTAGAAATGTAACAGCTTCTTTAGTTTAAATGACATAAGTTTGAGACCATTCATCCACCTGGAATTAGGAAAGCAGGTCAAACTTTATTCTCTATCTTCACTGGTTACGGATGAAGTTTTATCTAGTTTTAAAAATTTGTTGTTTTGTTTATATGTAAATGAGGAACACATCTCAGTTCTTTTTTAAATCTTTTCTCTATCTCTTTTTTTTTTTAATCTTTTCTTTTTTTGGAACTGGGAATCAAACCCAGGGCTTTGTGAATGATGTTGTAGATGTCTTACCTCTTTAGTTCATTGACCTTTCTTATTTTTATTCTTTCCCTTTTTATTGTCTCTCTCCCACTTATATCATGTGTATTGTGTTAATAACTTCATTCAAACTCTGAAGAACCACCATAGCTATATGATAACGAATAGGGTTGTAGGTTTACATGACATGGATCCCAAATTCATATCCTCTATATTCCAAATCTTTGAATAGCAAATGCCATTTTCACTAATGGTTGAAAATATCTCCACAGGCCTTGGGGTAGGCTCTGATGCTCAAGGTAGTCTTTATGAGGTCATATTTGGTTACTCAACATCAACACTAACTCATAGCTCTCCTGGTAAAAGCAATTTGGGTTGGAGATATTTCTCATTCATTCAGTGGAAATTCCTGTATGTGAAAGAGATTCTTACCTTTCGCAGGAAGAACCAACCTCCCCTAGAGGCTGTGGGGAGAATCCTTTGAACCCTGAGGATGCTAATTCTGTAGTAGTATAGTATCAGAGGCCTCAAACCAAGGGACATTCAAACCTTAGCAGAGCTCACTCTCAGCTAGGAAGGGCCTAGGAACACTTGTTTTCTGCCCTTCTGAGGAGGAGAGATGCTAGTGAACTACCTTTATCAAATATTTAGGGGTACTAGATGCTTTAGAGTTCTGAAAATCCAAAATTGGGCCAAATAGGGGGCAAAACTTCCTCTGAGCTCACAATCTCCTTCTGTTTACTGGACCAATTAGCAGATACTGTGGAAATGCTGGACATACATGCTCAATCCCACTCTGCTTCTTCACCCATCTGGTACCTCTGTTAAGTAAAGCCAGCTATGGGATCTTTTTGCAGGTCCCAAAGACTTGGGAGATGAGGTTACAGACCCTAGTTAGTGGAGAAATTGTTGGCTGAAATGACACAGGGTTCAGCAGCAGGGTTAGATTCCTATTTGATGCCACCATAATGTGGAATGATCCAAGCCCTCTGAAAACCTAGCACCTTTCCTCAGCTCCCCAGATTTTATGGGCTTTGCAAGGAAAACCTGTGGATGTGGATCTTTTTCCCTGATTCTGAGACTGAGAACTGCACGTTTTCATAGATCCAAACAAGGAGGACTGGCAGGATCATAAGGATTCAGTTTGTTAATGTGCGTAAACTATTTGTTCTGGACAGAAACTGGGATGCTTTTTTCTGGAATTCTCAGGGACCCTTGATTCTAAGAGACTTTCCCCCTAAGACTGGAAATTGAGAACTATTATTTAGTTGCATTTTGTTTTATGAACCTAATGACTTTATTTTTGAAGTTACTATATGGCAAATAAAAGTGTATTTTCAAGTATGATCTTAAGTGTTATTATCCAATAAGTTAACTTTTTGCTTTCCTTCTTTGACCCCTCAAGATAATCATTTTGTGTTCTTTTTTTCTGATATAAATATTATCATCATTATAACTATGTTGTATGGTATCCGGTCTTCCCATCCCCCTATATATCAGGGTGTCTTGAAGTCTAAAGATAACTCTGAGACCATATGGCAGGCAGAATCTCAGGAGATTTTGTTATCCATATGTTATCCCACAGAACATGGGAGCTAGGCAAAACATCCAGAGATTGGAACAACTGAGAAAAAAAGAAGATTTTATAAAAATCATAATTTCCTCAGTGAATTCCCAATTCCATCCTCTGTCTATCAGCAATGAGCAAACGGAAAAGGTAGGGAAGTGCCCAGTGTTGCCCTGGCCAGAGATTTTAGTTCATTCTTTGATCTTCCAAGGTTTAATGCTATCAGCATCTCTAGGCCTGAGCTTTCCAGAAGCATGTGCCCTAGTTTATATATTGATGGGAGCAGAAAATGCTCCAGTCTGTGAGAGTCTTATATGTGAGAGTCTTAAATCTACTCTCCTCACAGATTATGTCCTTTTCCCAGCTGGTTCAGCCCTGCATGGTTGCTCAGATCTCCCAAGCTCCCTGCTCCCTTTTGTGCTATTGTAACAGCCATTTCCCTCTGGCCTATTGTTAGCTTCCCATCTTCTCTCTTCCAAAACTTCACCTCCTCTTCTGGAAAACCTTCTGATCTTTGATCTCCACAATCAACTGGCTCTTGCTCAAATTTCTATGGCTTATAGTAACATTTCTCAGAATTCAAAATGTATCTGGGAGGCCTATGGATCTTGTTAAAATGTAGGTTCTGATTTATTTGTTCTGGGGTTGGGGGTGGCTGGAATATTGCATTTCTAACAAGCACTCTGCCCATTCCAAGGCTGCTGGCCCAAGACCATACTCTGATTAATTATTGAAAATAGGGCTCCTGAAAGCAGCAGTTCACCTCCAGATGAAGGAAGACCTGGAAAAACCTCCAATGAACAGATCTTCTTATAATCTCTTTAGGAAAAAAATCACTTAATGGGAACAGAAGAAAAGGAGAAGCAAATGGAGAGAAGACTTTCTTGTTCACCCCAGCAGGAGGATGGAGAGAGACAGCCAGGCAAGGAAGAGGCAAGTTTAATCACATCCACAGGCAAAAGAGTGAGATGGGTTTAATGATATTCACTGAACAAAGAGGAAGAAAACCAAAGTCAAACATTTTGCAGAGGGACCTGAAGGTTGAACTGAGATAGATGAAATAAAGTATAAGAAAGAAAATGGATGAATCAGATGCAAGAGGCTAAAGAAAAATGTGATAAAGAAGAAGAGGAAAATGCTCCCTTCTTTGAATGCTTTTATTCCCCTGCCTCTACACATATTTACAACTTAAGTTCTTCCTAATCTCATTGGGGACTCTCTTCTCAATTCCTTTTTCCTTCTCTCTTGAATGGCTGAAGCAAGCCCCTTTTTTATTTCAGAAGCAGTCGTAGGAGAGAATCAGTTATGGGAGTGAATGGACTGATTGTTACATGTTATAAAAATTCTTTGAAGCATTTGAGAGAGTAACTTGCTTTGTTTTTCAGACCCTAACTGACAACATCTTTTACTTTGGCAGGCAGTTTCTGCTTGGTTGAATTTGAGCTATGAAATCTTGAAGCACAGTTGAATGTAGGTAGACTGATATTAGGCACCATTTCCTTAAAGAATGGTATCTTAAAAACAACTATGTACCATAATATAAAAGATAAGCCCCATTCATCTTTTTGGTATATATTTGCACTGGTGCCCAGGTTGAGTTTCTGTGAAAAGTGCATGTCAGAGCAGGTCTCCATCATGCATGGAATGGTAATGGGGATCAAAGATGAGATCAAGTCCTTCTATACTAAAAGAACAATTTTAACAACTCTGTTTGTTCTATTAAAAGAGGACCTTAGCAAATCAAAATCACTTGAGAGCCCAAGTACTTATTTTCAAATAAGTGCTAAAGCACATGTAAAATCACATTTCATGCAATTTCTACTCTTTGTTCTTGAAGTTCTCTATGTACCATCAGTGATCCTTTGAAATTTGGAATTCAGTTGTACTTCCTGAAATAATTAAGTATATAGTATAGAAAATGGACTTTTAAAAACCACTTTATGACCATATTTTCACAAATGCTACATCACAGTGTGGCATAGCTTCATTTTTACGTATTTATTTAATATTAGTTTAGGACTGGTAATGTGGGTCAGTGGTAGAGTGCTTGCCCGGCATGCAGAAGGCCCTGGGTTCATTTCCGAGCACAGCAAAATAGAAAACAAAAGACATAAGATTAATTTTTCCTTTTAATTTCCTTCTTAATAAGAAGACATTCTTGGAGTAGCTCTGCATCAAAGCCATTTATCAAGGAAAAGAGGCCAATTTACCATCCATTCTAGGTGACAAACACATACACACTCAAAACTGGGGGGGGAAAGGACAAGGTGATTTGTTGAAATACTTATTGATATGTTTATGAAGTTTACCTTTGTTTATTTGAAGTAAGAATTCTAAGTATTCTCTTAGATATTTTGCTTTTAAGAAATTAAAATTCATAGAATCATGGAGTTTTTAAAGCTAGACAAGAAGCTGGAAGTCATTCAAGCCAATGCTTTTTAATTTTGAGATGAAGAAAAATTCAGGACAGGAATGACAAAGGTGGAGTGCCCTGGGTGCAAAATAGAAAGCATCACTCCTAGCTGCCAGTGGAGCCTGCACTTGCCTGAACCTGAGTGTTAATTTTTTACTCTGGGCATCCTGCTTGACCTACTAGTCATGGACCTAAACCTGAGGGCTATGAAGTTCAAGTGTTTGCCCAAGGTCACCTGTCTCATTGATTCAGGACTATTTTTCTCCTAACCCAAGTTACTATCTTAAAGTTTGAAAAAGTTATTATGTTTAAGGGAGAGAATTTGGTAGGTTTTTGTTTCCAAATAATCTTTTAAACAAGAATATGATCTCATTTGTGGTAGTCCTATTTCTTTCTGTCAACTTCTGATGAATTATTAATTTCCTCCCATAAGGAATTAGATGAACCAGCTTCAGAGAACCTACCTGAGTCTCAGCCTACTCCTTCCCTGGACTTTGACTCGAGTAGAGAAGAGGCCATCACTGACCTTGAACATAATGGTATGTGTTTGCATCAGCTGTCATCAGAGTGCTTGGCTGCCTGCAGTGGGCCTTGCCAGCCTCTAAAAGAAGCTCTGATTGTATGTGACCACTCTCTATCAGCTTGCCAGCATTGGGCCATGACCAGGCTGAAAAACAGATTAACCAAGCATTTCTTTCCTCTCTATGTTCTTTGTAATAGTGAACACAGTTGGAAACTCACACCTGGTGGGGGACCGTCTCTGAATGGATTACATGCTATCATCATTGACCTGACTTTGAAACAGTGTAGGACTGACTCTGAAGTGCAGTTTCCCTCTCTTATAGATTGTTCCCCCAGCCCTTATAAATTTATATTAAAGAAATGAAACCATACTTTGTGTAAAATCAACTATTCAGATGGGCAAGAAATTGCTAGAAAATAAAATTGCTTAGAGCTGTTACCTAAATGGATGATATACATCATCGCTGAAAAGCATAGATTTTGGAGTAAAAAAGCTGGCCCTATCAGAGAGGCCCCTGGAAACTTATTCTTCCAGGTCTTAGTTTCTTTATTCATGAAACAAACAACATTTTCAGGGTTATTGTAAAGAACAAATGAGATGAGGCATATAAATACTTAGCACACATTAGGAGCTGAAGAAAGAGAAGCAGTTATGATAATTTGTGGGGAGTTTATGAATGTACAGGTTTTCTTAGTCTTGCTCACCACTCTCCCCAGTGCCTAGAATGACGTGCCAGAAACATGGAAATTCAATTTCTTGAATGAATGACCAATAAATGAATGAATAATATATTAGTCTAGACTTCTGGGAGGCAGATGCCAAGATAGAACTAAAATGCATGGTTATTTTTAGGGAAAATACCTGCATGAAAGGAAATAGGAAAGCAGCTGGGAGAGGTTAGGAGAACTGTCAGACACTGTCAGACTATGATTAAAGTCTTATTCTAACTAAAGAGAGAATGCTTGGTGGAAGTGTTCTCTTCTGCTATGAGCCAAAGTTAGCAAGGTATCACAAAGTCCTCCAGCAAAGCCATCCATTGGAGGCCAGCTGTACTGTGCTGTCTTCTTCGGAGAGGGCCTCTGAGAGAATGTGGAGGATTTCAAAAGCATAGCAGCTGGGTCGTGGGCCACTTGTACTCCCTATAGTTGGAAGTCTGCCAGGTCTTGGGCAGTAGGATAGTTTTGTTCGCAAATTGAGAATTAGGATAGTGAAGCTTGGATTGTTTGGTCATCTCAGCACACATTTGCACTTAAGATTCTCCGGATAGAGCTCTTAGAGGTTGAGCTACCTCCTTCAGCTGTATGGAGACTAGCACCTAAATACAGGGACTAACAAAGCTTTTAAATCAGTTTTTAACAGTAATGCTGCAAAAGCATTTTGAAACAGATATAATTGACAAATGAATATGTATATGAGATGGACTTGTGTTAGATCTTTCGTAGGTGTTTCTTTAATATATTGTTTGTTAGTTTCCCAGAGTGAAATTTGGAAGTATAGGAATATTCCATGGACCCTTCTTTCCAATAACAGAAAACTGAGAAAGTTAGGCCTGATAAGGGTGGCTTGTGTTGTGCTATAGGGAAGTGCCATTGTCCCAGGACAGTATATTGAATTGAGTGGTCTAGAACCAAGAATTTGGGCTCATCCTCCTGGCTTCAAGTAGGAAAAAGTACCTATCAATGCATTTCTGAGATGAGAAGCCTAAGACACTAATCAGTTTTCAAAGGACCATTAGAACACCTGCTTTCTAATGCAGCCACACCCCTACCATTTCCCTCAAACTGATGAGTAGGAGCAATAGGTTTATGAGAAATAGTCAAGCATGTCAAGTGAATTGGACTTTCAAAAGGCAGAAAGTCTTTGTTGTGTGTCTGTATGCTAATTTTTGTGAAATGAAGTAGAAAAATTACTCCTAAGCTACCCCTGATTGCAGATTCCAGCCACTACTGGGAGACCTGAGCTGATGTCCTTACTTTTCATTCTGTGTTTTGTTATTGAGGTTTCATTATGGTAGACCACACATTGATTTACCAGGCAAACTGGAAATGGTCACATCTATTTCCTTGGCCACCTTATTTATGCTACAAGGAAACACTACTTAGATCACTGTAATATGCTGTAAGATAAACAAAATCCCAAACTTAAAACAAACAAAAAAATAGTTTTAGTTGGTCAGATGCCTTGTAAAATACTTTTAGCATATCCCATATGTTTTCTTCTCTGTAAATTCACATTTCTAAATACAAATTTTTCTTAAACATTAAGTTGAAAGAGAGACTTAGAATTGTGAAAATGCAACCTTTGGGTTTGACATCTCATTAGAATGGTGAGCAAATACAGGATGATTGTTGATCACACAGCTTCATTATGAACTTTTGAAACATGAGACTGATTAAGTGCCTAATTATTTTCCCAAGGCTCTTTGCTTTTTAGAAGATTTGGCACCAAACTTTCAGCACCAAGAGGACATTTTTGTTTATTTTATTTTACTTTTTTTCTAGCATGTGTATACAAAGTAAAATTACTCAGTCATTTTTTAAAAACTCCTTCACCAACTATTTAATCATTCTTTGATCTTGAGCTGGAAATTCCCCTTGGGATGTGTGGAGTTGTAGGAAAAGAAGGCAGGTCAAGACATTATTTATGTTTGATGTGCATTTAGTTGGCTATAGGTGATTTCATCTAGCCGAAGTTATGGTTACCAAAGTTATTATAATCAAATGAATAAGTAAAACCACAGTGTTAAATTATTTTAAAATAATTCCTTATATTTAATGCTGATTTATTTCTTGCAAATTAATTTTTTCAAAGTCTTTCCTTGCACTCTTGCCTTATCTTCAGTAGCTCATAACTGACTTGCTCAAGTATTTCTTGCAAAGTTGATATAGTCTGAGACTCATGAGCTTGGATCTGCCCAGGACATAATCCCTTAGCCCAGCCTATCCCTTAATCCCTTAACCCATACCTGAAAGGCATGAAGACTGCAGGCCTCACATGCCTGCCTACATCCTGACCAGCTACCACCTCTTAATTTCCCTTTTATCTATTTCTGGAGCAAGTCCTGAGCCTCCTCTTAGTACCTGGAGAAAACTCTGACCTCATGGGGGTTATACTTTGTTTGCCTGTAGGAAAGCCACATGCCTTTTTCAGTTGTGGGTATAGGGAAGAGAGAAATCCCCTCCTCTGTCCCTTAGTTCTTCTGTAGGCTTTTTGGGCAAAACTAGGAAACTAATTAATATAAAAGCTGATTAACAAGATTAAAGCATAAAGTTTTATTAATTTTACATGTACACAGGAATCTTTACAAGAGAGTAAAATCCAAATAAATGACCAAGGCATGATGTTTTTATACTTTTGGACAAAGAGCAATAAATTTGTGAAGAAATGATAGGACAAGTGGCTGTCTGGACTTGGATAGTAAATTCTAAGGATGTTACTATGCTGTGTATATGGGGGTGATGTAGAAGACAGTGGAAGGTAAGGGTTACCTCAAAGAGTTTATTTCCTCAGGTTCATTGCAGCCCCAATATCAGTCTCTGATGATCAAGGCTATTTTCCAGCCTTGGCACGTGAAGCAAATCCCTTCCAAAAGAATCTTTATGGCTTGTTGCATCTGGGGAAGGATAGTTCAAATGGCCCTTCTTGCAGTTTCAGTTACTCAAGTGATTTCAGCTTGATGTAACCAATATACCTATCTGGCATTATTTCTAGATGGCTTTTCTTTAACTCCTTCATGGACTACTCTGTGACTCAAACATTATTTCTTCTTTTTAAATGTCCAAGTATAAATAAAGTGATTTGAACTTAATCATGGTATTTTTTATTGTTTTAATTTTTTAAAAAGAAAACTTCTGCTGACTCAAGAAATGACATTTCTCTGCCTGGTCTAGATCCACCTCCACCCACCTGCATGGGACCCAGGCCCAGGATAGGCCTGGGTCTATCCCACCACCAGAAGACACCCTCCAGAGCACAGGACCGCCTCCTCTGACTAGTGGACCCCCGCCGAAGCTCTGGCCTGGTTCAGATGCTCCTACACTGACCTGCGCAGGACCCAGGCCCAGGGTAGGCCTGGGTCTGCCACACACACACACCCACAGCCAGCCTCAGGCCAGGCCTAACCCACTTCCATCTTGGGACTCTGCAAACATTCCCACAGCCTTCTCCACACAGTAGCCTTTACCTTTTGCTAACAGACAGGGCCTAGAAGCAGCTGAATCTTGGAGCAGGCATCCCAAAGGGAGTGTAAGGTCCACCCTTTCAGCCCCATCACTGAAAGACCTGCATCCATCTTGGGGCACTTCCACTGCTATCTTGAGTTACCTCTGCTATTGCCACCACCACCTTTAGTTTCACTAGCACACATTGAGCACAGCCTCAGGGTCTGGAAGCCCAACATCAAGGTGAGGTACAAGTAATAACAGAGCCCATGGACAGTGAAGTTGATGAAATATCAGAGAAGGAGTTCAGAATAAACGTAATTAAAATGATCTGTGAATTAAAGGGTGACCTAAATGAACAAAAACAGGCAACAATTGATCACTCCAACAAAGATATAAGAGCAAATATAGGTAGCAAAAGACTATTTCAAGAAACAGAGACTCTGAAAAAAAAATCAGAAATTCTTGAAATGAAGGAAACAATAAACCAAATAAAAAACTCAATAGAACGCATAACCAACAGACTAGATCACTTGGAAGAAAGAACATCAGATAATGAAGACAAAGTATACAATCAGGAAAATAAAGTTGACCACACAGTGAAGATCGTAAGAAACCAAGAATAGAACATCCAAGAATTATGGAATAGAATAAAAAGACCAAATCTAAGAGTTATTGAGATAGAGGAAAGCACAGAGTTTTAAATCAAAGGAATTCACAATTCTTCATTCAGAAAATTTCCCAAGTATGAAGAATGAATTGAAAAATCAAATTCAAGAGGCTTACAAAACGTCAAATGTACAAAATTACAACAGATCTACACCAAGGCACATTATAAGGAAAATGCCTAGCATACAGAATAAGGATAGAATCTTAAAGGCCACAAGAGAGGAATCAGATCACATATAGAGGGAGGCCAATTCATATATCAGCAGATTTTTTAACCCAGACCCTCAAAGCCAGGAGATCATAGAATAACATATATACCAAGTTCTGAAAGAAAATGGATGCCAACCAAGATTCTTATATTTAGCAAAATAAGCTTTAGATTTGATGATGAAATAAAAACCTTCCATAATAAACAAAAGTTAAGAGAATTTACAACTAGAAAGCCTGCACTACAGATATCCTTGGCAAAATATTCCATGAAGAGGAATTGAAAAACAAGAGTTAAGGGAGGTATTACACTAAAGGAAAAACTAATCAAAGGAGAAACCAAGTCAAGTTAAATACCAAAGATAAAATAACTGGGAATATAAATCATGTCTCAATAATAACCCTGAATATTTATGGCATAAACTCACCAATCAAAAGACGTAGACTGGCAGATTGGATTTTAAAAAACAGACCCAACAATATGCTGCCTCCAAGAGACTCATCTCATAGGAAAAGACATGCACAGACTCAAAAGGTTGAGAAAAATCATACCACTCACATGGACTGTGGAAGCAAGCAGGGGTTTCCATCTTCATATCAAATAAAGTAGACTTCAAGCTAAAGTTAATCAAAAGGGATAAAGAAGGACACCATATATGGCTCAAGGGAAACACACATCAATAAGACATAACAATTATAAATATATATGCCCCAAACAATGGAGCATCTATGTTCATCAAACAAACTCTTCTCAAGTTTAAGAGTCAAATAGACCACAACACAATAATTCTGGGTATCGTTAACATACCACTTTCACCACTGGATAGATCTTTCCAAAGAAAAAGTGAACAAAGAAAGTATAGAACTCATTAACACAATCAATAACTTAGACTTAACTGATGTATATAGAATATTTCATCCTTCAACAAGCAAATACACATTCTTCTCAGCAGCACATGGATCCTTCTCTAAAATAGACCATAATATTATGCCACAAAGCAACTCTTAGCAAATACAGAAAAGTAGAGATACTACTCTGCATTCTATCAGATCATAATGGAATAAAACTAGAAAACAATGATAAAATAAAAAAATAAAAGCTTCTCCAACACCTGAAGACTAAATAATATGCTACTGGATGAAAAATGGGTTGCAAAAGATATAAAGGAGGAGATTAAAAAATTCTTAGAGGTAAATGAAAACATTGATATAACTCAGGGGAACTATAGAAATCTCTGGGACACTATGAAGGCAGTAATAACAGGAAAGTACATTGCGGGGCTGGGGTTGTGGCTCAGTGGTAGAGCACTTGCTTAGCACGTGTGAGGCCCTGGGTTCGATCCTCAGTACCACATTAAAAAAATAATAAAAAATAAAGGTATTGACGACTGCAACTAATATATATATATATATATATATATATATATATATATATATATGAAAGTACATTGCATGGATTTCATTTCTTAAAAGAAGAAAAAGTCAACAAATAAATGACCTAACATTACATCTCAAAGCCCTAGAAAAGAAGAACAAATAAACACCAAAAGCAATAGAAGACAGAAATAATTAAAATCAGCTGAAATGAATGAAATTGAAATAAAAGAAACAATTGAAAAAATTGACAAGATAAAAAGTTGGTTCTTTGAAAAAATAAAATTGACAAACTTTTAGCCATGCTAATGAAAAGGAGAGAGAAAATTCAAATTACTAACATTACATGATAAAAAAAAGGAAATAGCACAAAAGACACTACAGAAATACAGAAGATAATTAGAAATTATTTTTGAAAACTTGTACTCTAATGAAATAGAAACTATCAAAGGCATAAAAAAAATTCTAGAGTCATATGATTTGTCCATACAGAATCAGGATGATGTACACTATGTAAACATCAATTTCAAGAGATGAAATAGAAGATGGCATCAGAAGCCTACCAACCAAGAAAAGCCCAGGACTAGATGGATACACACCTGAGTTCTACAAGACCTTTAATGAAGAACTAATACCAATACTCCTCAAATTATTTTGTGAAATAGAAAAAGAGGGAGCACTTTCAAACTCATTCTATGAGGCCAATATCACCCTGAATGCAAAGACCAGGCAAAGACACATCAAAGAAAGAAAACTTCAGACCAATACCAATACCTCTAATGAACATAGATGCAAAAATTCTCCAAAAATTCTGACAAATTAAATACAAAAGCATATCAAAAAGATAGTGCACCATGATCAAGTGGGGTTCATCCCAGGGATGCAAGGTGGTTCAACATATGGAAATCAATAAATGCAATTCTTCACATCAATAGACTTAAAGATAAGAACAATATGGTCATCTCAATAGATGCAGAATAAGCATTCAACAAAATACAGCACCCCTTCATGTTCAAAACACTGGAAAAACTAGGGATAACGGGAACATATCTCAACATTGTAAAACCTATCTATGCTAAACCCTAGGCTAGCATCATTCTAAATGGAGAAAAATTGAAAGCATTACCTCTAAAAACTGGAACAAGATAGGGATACCCTCTTTTACCACTTCTATTTAACATAGTTCTTGAAACACTGGCCAGAGCAATTAGACATATGAAAGAAATTAAAGGGATATGGATAGGAAAAGGAGAACTCAAATTATCACTATTTGCTGATGATATGGTTCTATACCTAGAAGACCCAAAAATTCCACCAGCCAACTTCTAGAACTAATAAATGAATTCAGCAAAGTAACAGCATATAAAATCAACACCCATAAATTAAAGGTATTTCTGTATATCAGTGAAAAATCCTCTGAAAGGGAAATGAGGAAAACTACCCCATTTATAAAAATCTCAAGCAAAAAATAAAATACTTGGGAATCAACTTAATGAAAGATGTGAAAGACCTTTACAATGAAAACTACAGAATGCTAAAGAAAGAAATTAAAGAAGACCTTAGAAGATGGAAAGATCTCCCTTGTTCTTGGATAGCAGAATTAATATTGCCAAAATGACCATATTACCAAAAGCACTATACAGATTTAATGCAATCCTAATCAAAATCCCAATGGCATTCCTCATAGAAGTAGAAAAAGCAGTCATGAAAGTCATCTGGAAAAATAAGAGACCCAGAATAGCTAAAGCAATCCTTAGCAAGAAGAGTGAAGCAGGTGGCATCACTATACCAGACCATAAACTCTACTGCAGAGCAATAGTAACAAAAACAGCATGGTATTGGCACCAAAATAGACTTGTAGGCCAATGGTACAGAATAGAGGACACAGAGACTAATTCACATAATTACAGTTATATTAGACAAAAGCGACAAAATCGTACATTGGAGAAAAGATATCCTGTTCAACAAATGATTCTGTGAAAACTGGAAATCCATATGCAAAAAAAAAATGAAATTAAGCCCCTATTTCTCACCATGCACAAAACTTAACTCAAAGTGGATCAAGGACCTAGGAATTAAACAAAAAACACTGTGCCTAATAGAAGAAAAAGTGGACCCAAATCTCCATCATGTTGGATTAGACCCCAACTTCCTTAATAAGACTCCTATAGCACAAGAAATGAAATCCAGAATCAATAAACGGGATGGAATCAAACAAAAAAGCTTCTTCTCAGCAAAAGAAACAATCAGTGAAGTGAATAGAGAGCCTACATTTGGGTAGCAAGTTTTTACCACATACACGTCAGATAGAGCACTAATTTCTAGGATATATAAAGAACTCAAAAATCTCAATGCCAAAAAACCAAATAATCCAATCAATAAATGTTCCAAGTAGCTG